AGAAGGAAATGTTTGAATCTAGTTATCACTGTGCGCAACTACGATTTACTTCTCAATACTACTGCTCAATATTACTAACAATGTGATGTGTGACAGTGTGACTCCTTATACTGTTTGAGACTGGTTCAGGATTTATAAATTTATACATCCAAAGATTAAAGTTGTTTAAAAACTTTCAAAACAATTTAACATTTTTGTGTCTTCCCTTTTTCTAATAATTAATTTTATTTTATTTTTATTTTTTAAAGTATCTGTCTATGATTGGGGGAAAAAAAAAAACCTAGCTCCCAAATAGTACAGAACTTCATGCCCCAAATGATTCCATACAAAGAGCAAGGGAACTGAGGTATTCATACTTCACTTCTTGTCTGATAGGTATACAGTTGAGACAATATTCAGGAAATTTCACTCCCCAGCACTTTAAGCGGATGTGCAGTGGAGCAGTGAGCTGACTCAGACATGAGAAGGTCACCTGCTAGAGGTGAGTCAATAAAGCTAAGAAATCCATTCGAATATCATCACGTCTCTACAATTACTGTGAAAATGAATTATAGGCAAAAGAAGCATTCATTTTCTGTGTGCTATAAAAGGATATAGGAAAACTGGGATTAGGCTATGCACAGATAAAATGCACCATTTAAAGTATCCATATTTTTCACTGACCCAGGGAAATTAAATAACTTACCCAAAGATGAAGAGATGGTTAAAACTCATTCTTGTGAGTTAGACACTTACTATTGGGGTTTAGGCCTCCTTTATTTTCTGGTCTTATTCAATATTGGTTTCCCAGTTTCCTGCTGATTATGTGGGCTCCCAATTTCTTTCTAATAATTTTGGTTTTCAGTTATAACAGCCACAATATGACTCTACTATTTGAAACCAAAAGTCATCACTGATAAAAGAGTGGTTGAAAATAATCTGATCTCAGATTCATGCCTCATCATAAATTCTCTTAAAAAATTGAGTTTTGTCTATTTGTCATTCTGGGTCTCAGTTTCTACATTTATAAAGCGGGAACAGCTCACAAGTTTGATTCTTGGGAAATTAGTCTGCAAGTTGTTCCTGAAAAAAAAAAAAGGTTTCTTTTTCTAGAGAACCTAAAACATGTTGGCCTATTTGAGTTTCTGGAAATTTATCCAGGAAAGGATTTAATTTAACTTTAACCCAGTATTTTCCAAGATTAATCATGGAAGTCTTGTTTCAGAAAACATTAACATTTAATAGGCTATCTTGGCAAGAGACATTGATTCCAGCAGTTCATTTTTTTGTTTTGTTTTGTTTTTTGCATGCACCTGACCCTGGACTTTGGCAGTAAACACACATAGAGTCTCTGTACTAACCTTTTATAGTAAGGATGCTTAAACTTCTCTGCATTTAAGGACAATTTAAGGGGCTTTTTTATAGTATATGTTACTATAGTATAGGTTACTAAGCACTATATACAAGACCTACTAATTCAGAATCTCCTGAAATAGACACAAAGAATTAAAGCTCAGAATTACTCTGTAGGTGATTATGTTGTAGGCCTTCATCTTCACTCTGTAATACAATGAGAAACACTGTGTCATTGAACATTTTAGTGGAAAGTATCTTTCATTGGCTTATGTCCTTTATCATTAGATGAAGCTAGAAGTCATGATCTCAATAATTTATGCACAAGTGAGAACATTCACCATCTCTTATGAGCAATAGATGAGGCAAGTTCATAGACAACTTGTGAGTAACCACTGTAAAGCTACTGAGTAGCTATGATCACAAATTCAGAAAGACATAACATTAAATGTGAATATAGATGCAACCATAGGATCAATAATGTGAGCAAACTTTGGTTAAAGTCTAGATACTCAATAAAAGAAGTGGGTTTTCAAATGTCCCCCTTACTCCTGCTACCTACGTATAGCTTCTTTATTCACTATTAACAAAGTTAGTGAAAAATCAAGGTTAAAGAAGTAGCAAAGAAACTTATGTCATCTAGTTTCATGACTTATTAACAACTCAAAGAATCTGATGATAGGTAGTCTGGAATGAATAGCTAAATGTTATTTTTAGACTATCTGTGAATTTCATTTGCTCTCTTTACCACAAGTGATGAAAAATTAGCTATCAGAAATTTCAAAATTAGACTGCAAAACATGATAGAAATTTAGGAATTAGTGGTGTCATCATGTCTTGAACAGTTTTTTTTTCTTCAAGTAATGTGATGAGAATAATGATGCAATTCTTCACAATATTCTATACATTATTTGAAGGAAAAAACATGTGTTATGGAGATCAGTGATATTTATTGGACATAAGCAAACATTGTGTTCCTAGGTTGCTAGCTATATTTACTGTAAGAAAACCCTACAGCTGATTTTCAGGATTTCACAGGAATTTACTTTTATCTTTATAGCTCAAAATGTAAAAATAACTTGTTTATAAATAAGTTGCAGGATTACAACCTAACACCTAGAATATTGTGTTTTGTTTTATTTAAATAACCAGAGTTACAAACTCTTTCCAACTGGGAAGTGGTGATAAATGGTGCGGTGCTTACTCTTCAACAACTCTATAAAACTGGCATCCTGACATTTATTTGCATGGGCTTCACATCACAAAATGTGCACACCCTTCTTTCTACATGGCTTCAACTTTCCAGAAACAAAACTGTGAGCTTCATTTTATTCCTCTTGCTACACAGTTGGTTTTGTCTTCTATATAGAATATATTAACACCTAAAAATAAACAACAAATAAAATAGTGCATACATTATAAGTTTCACAAAGTTACAGCGATTCTTATTTACATGTTTATATTTGATTGAATATTGTAACTGCCATTTACAATGTAGCATAAACAGGTAAAATTTAAAACTACCATCGTGTAACTTTGGTGTGATTGTCACTTCATAGAGTGGACTTACATATCTGTGCAAATTGGGAATTTAACCTTTTTTTCTTAATTGCAACATTTGTATTGTTTCAAGGGTGACTGCATTCCTTAGGCTGTGACATCATCTCTGGAAAACATGCATGCTGCCCAACTGAAGAGTCACTAATCAGATCTAGGGGATGTATGTTCAATTTTTCAAGTCTTCACTCCCATCCCAACTATTTTTCAGGCCCTTCCTTTGAAGCTTCCAAAAACAAAATCATAGCTATTCAAATTTGAAATGAAAAGAAATTTGTTAATGATGTAGAGTTGGATTTAATTTTTATTCAGTGTGCATTGCTGGTAGTAGAATTGAATCAGTTTTTGAGGTTTAAGTCTCTCAAAAGGGTCTGCTTTGTAGTTCTAGAGCACTTTTTCCAGCTGGGTTTCTGGTATGATGAGCTTGTTTTGTGAACCCCAATGTGCAATCTACACCTGAGAAAAGGGGAGTTTTCGATGTTGCAGTGTATTAAACAGGTACTTTCCATTCACTCAATTAATAATCAGAAAACAGAAAGAAAAGAGAGCCTCCTACTTGTTTCCTTACTCTAAACAAGGAGATGGAAACTATTAAATAAGGAGGGAAACTCCCGCATATTTCACCTTGACCTGGCTGGACTGGTCTGATGTCTGGAAGAGGCGGGTGTTCTATTAAAGAAAACGGATAAGTTACTAGTGGAAAAGTGAGAGGTCAGACTTCAAGATGGGGAAACAACTTCAGCTCCGAAAGGAAAAGGGAACCTTCATTACCCAGTCTCAAACTGGGAACAGTGTCTCCTTTCCAATTCCGGGGGCTGGGTTCCCTTTCTCTCCCTGGACTTAAATGGGTAGTGACAGGACTCGAGATACTCTGCTTCCCCTATTGCTCCAGCCCAACACCGTTTTGCTCCAGCACCTAAATTTCTGAGCTGCAAGCAGTCAATCCCCTCCCACCTTGTCTCCTTGGCTTCTCTCTTGCTCCTTTGCTGCCTTGTGTAACTTCTTTGTTCCGTTTACTGGGAAGGTGGCGATTAAGGTCAAAAGACCCACTGTAACCAGCAAAAGCCCGGAGCCACAAACAGACCCTGGGGAAAAGCAAGGCAGTCCAACTCAAGGGCGAGGCTCTGCGTAAAAAGAGTAGCGAGAAATCTCGGCAAGTAGCTCCAGGAACAGCCCCTGCGGGATCGTCCAACTCTCGAAAGGCTGGGGAGACCAGGGACTGCCTCGGGATGGGACAGAGGGCGAGCTCCTAACTTTGCAAGCAAAGTGGGCAGCGGACACTCGCAGAGCAGAGCACTGGAGGCGGGGAGAGGCCCCTAGACTCCACTTTGTATGCAGCAGCTGCTGGGCAGTGAGTATCTCTGAACAAAGAGCGCGCAGTGCAGGGGTGAGAGTTCGCGGTTTGCTCACAGCTGCCACTCGTGCTGAGCAAGTCTCCCACCACACCCCCTGGGCGAGCTTTGGGGGAGCAGGATTCCAGGGAAGAGGGAAAGGGAAAGCGGTGTGCTATTCCTGTTGCGCGGCTACGCACCAGGAATTCTTGTGCACGGTGGGAATGGCAACTATCCGATCCAAGGGGGAGAAAAAGAGCTGGAGTGAGCAAAACAAAGAGCGAGTGTGGGCCGCGGTGACTTCATGCCTCACCAATGTCCCGCCCACGCTACTCCGAGCTGTTGCTGCTGCCGCTGCCCGGGCGCCGCCGCCCCTACGGGCAACCCGGCAAGGCGCACTATAGCGTGGGGCGGTTTCCTAGCAACTCCCGGCCGGAGCGCGCCCAGCTAACAGCAGGTTGGGACCCCCTCGGGGGTGGGGTGGGGGACCAGGAAAGTACCACCCCAATCCTCTTCATCCCCAGCCTCCTCCACTGCATCCTCGCTGCGTGCACCCCAGAGCACGCCAGCTGCCAGGGGTCTGGGCAGCGAGACGCCTGAGCCAAACTCTGGAGCCAAAAGGACAAGGGCACGAAGCCCCCGCCCCGCGAGGCTGGGCTCTCGCACCCCCGCGGAACCTCCCCTCCTGCGCTAGCGCCGTGAGCTCCAGTCCTGGCTAGGCTGGAAGCAAAAATGCCTTGCTCTGTGTTTGGGGTCGTCTACAGGCACTTCTAGAGCGCTCCCGGGGCCGCCTCCCCAGCCTCTAGCACCCAGAGCCTCAACCTTCACCAGTCAGAACGCTTTTGCCTGGACCTTGCCCGCTGCTCCGCTGGCGAGGCTGCAAAGCTGCAACACAGTGGAGTTGGCCTCCCTGCCCACCTGTGGAAGAAGCTCGCGCAGATTGATGCGCCATCGACATTTTTCCCCTTCGGCCTTCTGGCGTCCCCTCCCACAAATGCGGCATCACCCAGTGAATATACATTAGGGTGATTCCCCCCAGCCTCGGGCTTTGTTTGGGTTTGATTGTGTTTGGCTCTTGGCTAAGCTGATTTATGCAGCAGAGCCCCATCGGCTGGAGAGAAACAAAAGCTCTTTTCTTTGTCCCGGAGCGGGCTTTGGAGCCCTCGATCGCGTCGCCGCCGCTGGCCATCGGCCGTCGGAGGAGGTGCTTTTCGCGGAGACTCCAGGGCTGGCCGAGTGGATCTGGGAGGGCCGCGGGAGCCCTGAGATGCAGAGCAGTGCTCGGGCCCACGTACCTGCACAGCTTGCTCAGAGCCGCGAGATCCGTCTGCCCGGCCTGAGGGAAACATCCTAGAGATTCCCAGTCTTTTGGTCCCGAGGTGCGCCCGGGAGGCAAGAGCGCTCTACAGGGAAGGAGCCTGGCGGCAGGCGCGGGTAGGGCTGCTTTGCATTATGTGCGGCTCGGCCCTGGCTTTTTTTACCGCTGCATTTGTCTGCCTGCAAAACTGCCGGCGAGGTGCTGCCTCATTTCTTCGGGCGGCCTGGGTATTTTCACTTGTTCTTGGACTGGGACAAAGTGGTAAGTTGTTTTGTTCTGTTTTCTTCTCTTTGCACCGAGTCTTGGGCTGGCACCAAGAGTTTCCTGGCCTGAGCATCCTGGCCAGGTAAGTAGGGGATGTCAGTCTATGTCTGCCCTGGGAACACAAGAAAGGTGTGTGTGTGTGTGTGTGTGTGTGTGTGTGTGTGTGTGTCAGCGTCCTCTACCGCAGGCGGCCTCAGAGAAACCAGGTGTCAAGCATTTCCGCCCGGAGTGACAGCAATAGCTAACTATACTGTGTATTGCTCCAGGGTGCTGAGAAAGCAGCGCCTGAATGGAAGTTCCGAAGGGAGGGTGTGGAGAGGGTTGCATTTAGGAATTGGAGTACATCCTTGAGGACATGATCGGTATATAATGTGCTCCACATCTTTCTAGTATTTGGTTCCACCAACCTTTCACTTCCATTTGACGCAAAGCTGTGGATAAACTGGTTGTTATAGGAGATAGTCTTCCTTTTTTTTTTTTTTTTTAACCGTGAAAGGAGAGAGCAGCAACACACAAGTTTCTTGTATCATAGGGTTCATTCTGAGTAAATTGAATACTCTTGAGGAATATTCGTGCTTTAAGCCACCATCCTTTCAGCTTTTTCTTCAACAACAACAAAAATACTTTTGAAGCTAATTGATCCTTCACTGAGCTCAATCTCTCAGACTGAGAAGCAGTGAGAACCCTGGACCAAGGATTGACTTTTAGTCCAGGCAAGCCACCCTTCAGGCAGCACGGTGAGCTCCAATCCTGGTTAGGCTGGAAGTAGAAACACCTTGCTGTATGTTTTAGGATGTTAAAATCAAGAGTTACCTTAAATTGGAAAGGTTAGTCCTTCATAAACTTTTTTTTTCTTTGTAGTCATGTGTAAAATAGGGATAAGAATACCTGCCCTTCATAAAGGAAAATTCAAGTCAAATATCATATGAGAAGGGTTTGGGGGGCTTTTGATTTATGTAATAAAAATCCAATGTAAGATTGAAGCATTGTATTGTTAATAAACCATAAAACAAGATAAGTAATGATAATAATCCACTTAGGAAGAATTCTTATTGGATTCTCATAGTGATCAAATATTTGTTTTCACAAATGTAGTGACTATTTCCATACTTTAAAGTTTTCTTTTCACTTTTCCCTGTTTTGTCACCAAGTCCTTAAGTTCTATAAGAACCTTACTCTAACTTCTTTAGTTCAAGGAGTATTTAATTAATAATTGTAATTGTTTTGTATACTAAAATTTATTTCTGTGCCTTGAAATGACATGCAAAGTTTCTGCCTGAAGCTAATTAAAATAATCATCATAACCTTATAAATAAGAGTTTATAGTGGAAATATTCAGATAACTTCATTTAATTGTTACATGTATAGTTGTCTAACATTTCTTCCAGGAAGATTTACCCAGTTATCTGAAATGGGGTCAATTAGAGTAAATTTTTATCTTGTGGTTACTTTTTTGGCTTACATATTGATTTCAAATTAAATGAAACTTAACCCAAAGGAAAAGGTAACATTTATTATCAGTTATCTCTGGAACAGGTATTTGTTGCAGCAGATTTTCCACTGTGTATAATTCCAACCTGTTTCAATAAGTAACAGAGTTTTTTCCTACTTTTAGTAAACATACACATATCTACACTATAACCAACAGAGTATATTTTGTTCCTAATAAATAGTCAAAGGAAAAAATCCTACTCACCTCTAGAATTTTCTAATAATAGTACCTTTAAAAATTTGATGTGCTTGTAAAGATTAGTCAAGTTCTTTTATAATAGCATTGCATTTCCATCCAGTGACCAAAACTGATTTAAAGCCAATGTTATGAATGGGTCCCCCTTGCACCTGCTGACTTGAAAAGGGAATGCTTACCTGAAATCAGAATAAGGCATCCTTTCCCCCATCTCTGTCAATATACAAAGGTTTCTGATGTATACTGATTTGAATAGCAGTTGAAAACATGCAAAAAATTTAAATTACAGCCAATACAACACAGAAAATTAGAGATCAGCGTAAACTGTTGTACTTTCGTGATATAGCTACAAGTCTCAAATTATATGTCTTTACAGTGCAAATTAGACGCTTAAAGCAGGATAGAAATTTAGGTATCAGTTACAAAGGAAATCTTAATCCTATGCTCAGTAGTTTACACCAAGAAAATGTTGAGGGCAATAAAATCATACTAAAGAGACTATAAACTGCACAAGAACAACGAAACTTTGTATGTGATTTTTGAAGTAGAATTCCTAGGTCTCAAATACATAGTTGATTTTTAATGCTGAATGTATAGTGAGTGGAGGGTTTATAAGTAAAACTTAAAGGTTTCTGATGCAGAAAATTATTTCATTAAAAAAATCTTTCCCTGGTGGAAATTATCAGCAAGATAGTATTAATAACAAAGATACCATGAAGTGGTTAATGAGTAACTGGAAAACATAAAAAATACCTATTGATTAATATTTGAAGAGTTATTGTAATAATGCTGTTACTTCCACATTTGCTTATTTTAAAATATTAGGAAAGCTTATGTAGCAATAACAGTGACAGATTTCAAAAATCACATTTTTTAAAAAATGTGATACTTATTATTACAATGAAATTTCATCTCCTATATTGTCAACTATCAAGTGTTTAGCCTTTTAAATCACTATCAACTGGGTTAGCATTAATCTCCCTCAAAACACATCTCACAGCATGAAGTCTTCTCAGAATTCTTCATGCTTTTATACAGTGATCTGATATTTAAGAGAACCCAGGCTTTATTTAAAAGGTGAAATCTAGTCTTGTAAGTTACTTGCATATAAATTATACAAATTAATTATATCTTGTGGCAACTGAAAAAAATTGGGATCTATTAAAAGTCATTTACTCTTGCCCTGTGTATGAAAATAGACATCTCATATTATTTGAAAATGCCAAAAAATTTTATGTAACCAAAATATCTTCTTAACCTACTACCAGATCATCTCAAATTTTACCACTTCATACATTCTTTTGTGTTAACATAGTATTGACCCTCTGTTTCTCTTAGTTTTTAACACTGTGTTATGGACATTTTCAAACACAGACTGATGCAGAGAGAATGGTATAAGGAACCATCCATCAGCCAGCTTCACTATCAACTTAAAAGTAACTCACATCTCCTCCCAGTTCATCCCCTTACCCTAACTAAATTATTTTGAAACAAACTTCTCATGACGTTTTATCCAAAAATATTCCAGCAAATTTAAGCACTACTGGAGGAGAAACACATTGTCATTTATCTCAAAGCTTGAATTTTTTTAAATGAAATTTAGGACCATAAGAATGTTCACAAGCTTAAAGGGAAGAGCCATGGAAGAGAGTGGAACAAGAAAAGATAGAAACACACTTTCAACGGTTTACTTTTCTGTTAAAGTTCTGTTTGGAATCTATTTAAAAATATTTGTCTTTAAATAGTATGCATAGGTAACATCTTTTTGGTATACAAGCATATGAAGAAGAAAACATAACATGAATAAATCTAATTTCCAAGACAAATGTTAATTGCTCTACCCCAGTGGACTCAGTGCAGGTACACCTTGCTGAAGTTTCAGTTTTAAGGATGCTCCTCCCCTCTCATTGGCATTGTCTTCTATTTCTCACTCTCCTGTTGCTGTAAGTTCATACTTACTTTCTCCAGCCCTTCTCTTCACCTCTCTCTGAGTCTGCAGCAGCCAGGCTTTCTTGATTACCTCTGCAGTCCCACTCTGTTCAGATCACGTCACTTCCCCACCAAATCTGATGGCCAATTCATAGTCTTCATCTTGTTTGACCTCTTGTCTGTCAGGGACTTGGCACAATGGACCCTGCCTTTCTTGGAAACACTTCTACTCTTTGCTTCCTGGACCTGTAATCTCTTGGTTTTGGTTCCTTTTCATCTCTGATGTTGTTTCTTCTTCATCTTCCAAACTCCAAAGGTAAGCGTGTCGAGAAGTCAGTCTTTGAAATTGCTCTTCTCTTTCTGTACTGAGCCTTGGGTTTAAATATCATTTCTGTGTTGACACCACCCAGAACCTCTCTCCAGTCCTGACTATTCATTGATCTCAGAGAGTTCAGTCAACTGCTATTCAACATCTCCATTGTGGTTCTAAAAACAAAATGCACGCTAATGTACTCAAAATCAAATGCTCAATTTTATTCGGCAAGCTTGCTCTTTTCACACTTCGTATCAACTCAGTTAATGGTAAGTCTGTCTCCCAGTAGTTCAAGCTAATATTCTGGTGGTATCCCAATTCTTCTCTATCTCTCACAGTCCTTTTATGACCTCTTTTGCCAGCACTCTGGCCCATACCAGAGTGGGCCATCTTTTGCTTAAACTCTTGAAAGCCATCTTTCCTGCTCCACAGTGCACCCAGACCTACTTTTAAAAGATGCACCATCAGGTCCTGTCATCCCCCCACTTAGAACTCTCTGTGGCTTTTCATCTCTCAGATTGAAGGCCAAGCCTTTCCACGACATTCAGAATCTCACATGAACTAATTCCTGATGACTGTCCGGCCTCATTTCCTTTCCCTGTTCTCTCTTTGTTCCAGCAGCACTGTCCTTTCTGTACCCTAAATGCACCAAGCATGATCTGCCTCCAATCTTGAATGTCCTCGTCCCTATCCCAATGCTCTTCTCTGAAAAACATCGCTGATCCTTCTCCCTCATTTCGTCCCAGTCCATTCATATCTCACTGTATCAAAAAGGGCTATCCATTCCTCCCTGTCAATCCTACTCTGCCTCTTTCCTTTCCTTTCCTGGCCCTTTGCACCGCTGGGTACTATGTATTGCTTTGCTTACTGTCCTTCTCTGCTCCTCCTAATCCTGAAACTAGAATACAGTTTATGAGGAAAGGTGTTTTGTTCTCTTCCTTTGATAAATGCCAATCATGTAAATGTACCCAATGCACATTTGTTGAAGGATGTGTTTTGTCTCAGTTGAATCTCGTATTGATTCCCTATTCATTCCAAGACAGGGTTTCATTGACTTTCTCTCAGTCT